AGCTTGACAAGTCATCGTTCGCTCTAAGCAACAAACGAAACCATCCAAGAATCAAATCCAGCCGAATTCATAATTCCTAAATCAAATTCGAATTTCTCTCTGCAGGAAGCAGCAACTCAAACGAGTCCCTTGTGCTTGTCACGATCAAGTTCATTCGATTGGATCAACGAGCAATCACCCGATGATCACTATCATGCTCTTCCTACTCACTCTCCCGAATCTGAGCCAAACGATTCAACAAACGCTCCTGTCTCAAGTAAATTCGAAACTGCGATGCCCACTACTCGGTCACAAGCTGCATCTTCGTGTATAACTGCAAATGTACTCGCCGATCGCTCCACTCAACCACCGAATAATCCAGCTTCGATCAATGAGGACATCGATGAAAGTATCGCGATGTTGATGGGCTATGTTGATGATTTGAAATCGTCAACTGATATCAGACTCACATCGAAATTTATTGCCGATAAATACTCATTGAACGTTGCGCCAACTGATGGCAAGGTTCGTCGATCATATTCTATACTATCAAATGTAACATCTCACATTTACTACCTCAACACCTGTCACCTGGCCGTACAGCCATTCATTTCTAAATTACACTTTCTGTAGCAAAATATTCAATCTTTCCTTTACTTCTGTTGAAGAATCGCAGAATAAATTCTTCTTAACATTTTCACCGAACGTTTGATGATTTAAAGCCAACCATTTTAACAACTTAATTAACATTTGTACCTCTGGTAAAGATAACAACGTTTATTGTGCGTTAATCGCTCTTTTGCGTTTCATTATGCATGTTTGTGTGAGTTCAGATCGAAGATGAGCATTATTCAAATGAACATTTCCCTCGGTCGAAGCCATACACTCATCACAACCACCTTATCAGTGACAAATCTTTCCATGATAAACCAGTAATTAGCTGCTGTAAGTCATCATTATGTATACATCTATTCCTACTTCAGAAAATTATGCCGTTATAGAAACGCGTTTGAAAATAATTCCACTTCATGCTGTTCACTTGCAGAGTCAGCAATTTTAATGAATCATCCGAACAATCAAGTTTAGATGACAAACCCATTAATTTGTTCAGTACACCATAAAAAATTTCCTACATTGCACTAATCTGTAGAGAGAGACGTAATATTTCACCTAATTTGTATTATTTTGCATGTTATGATAGTAATAATGCAATATAAATTATTTCTTCTGAAAGATTGGTCAGAAATGAATCAAAGTGAGAATAGTGCGTGTATGTTTCATTCAATGGTACTGTCGTCTCATGAATGTTCACCTTGCGCATTCAATGCGAACATATCGCCCCGTATGATATTATACTACGGCATTAATCATTAAGTGATTGTTCATAATGAATAATCGTTTCGAATACTGAATTCTTTTGCAATCATTTCAAAATCGTTCTCGTCAATGCTCACCACCATTATACCATCTCTTAACATCTTCAACCCAGTTCGTTCTCCTCGAATTTTCACTTTCAACTCCTCTTCTGAAAACGACCGTGTGCAACTATTATATCTGATAACTTTCAGATGTAATTGTGCTATAATAATGAAAGAATAATGTGATTGCTTGACCTATTGTAGGTGATCAACTGTACGAATGCTCAGACTCAAACGAGATGCAGTGGTCGAAGTCAACAAAAATCAAGACAGTTTCATCGTGTTCATCGTCATTGAATAAAAGTGTTTATGATAATACTTGCTTCTTTAATCCGACTAAACAAGTTATCAAAAATTTATCAAACGGTTATTATTTTAATTATCTTTATATTTTAACTCATCACATGACATATTATTCATCATTTGTTTCCGTGCAGTTCAATAAGTTTCGATGGCATTTTGTTCGACCTAGATTAAGTTCAGTTGAAAAAGTATCAATTTACTGTACCACACATGTTTGCAATGAAGTTNTCATTTGTTTCCCTGCAGTTCAGTAAGTTTCGATAGCATTTTGTTCGACTTAGAATTAAGTTCCGTTGAAAAAGTATCAATTTACTGTACCACACATGTTTGCAATGAAGTTCTTAAGTGATTAATGTAGGAAGCAATGTATTATGAGGTTGTTAACGCTTCTTTTGTCGTCGTAATCATTTCCGATGTGTTTGCTATCATCAGTGTGTATTATGCAAGTATGCACTGAGGCTCTGTGAGATTCCTATCTTTCAAAACATCTGATAGGCATTGATGTTGGTGATTTTGTTATGTCTCACTGAAAAGTAATCGAGTGAATGTATGAAATAAGCAGTTTCAGAATCGTTACCTTCCTCTCCTTCATCACCATTATGCAATTCCAATCAAATCCCTCTATGCAATGGTCATCTATGCCATGAAAAAATATCTTCACCGCTCGATCATATCAGTACTAACAATGGTACCAGTCAACCAGATTACGTCAACGTACCTGGTAAATCTCAAACATATTCCACTACAGTCACACTCCTGCAACGCTCTATATCCCCACAACAAGTATTCAACAACATCGATCACTCCGAGTCTCCACCATCAATAACAAATATTGATCTATCCACATCTCCACCGCAATCGTCCTCGCATTCTGAACACTCCACTTTACCAACTCCGCCAGCATGTAATCGTTTATCGCGAACTTTTGGTAGTTGTGAGCAAATCAACCCTAACACTGGTAACGTCGATCAGGTTCGTCAGTCCTTCTCATCAATAACAAATCCTGTTATAATAATCCTACTCATTCTGAAACGATTTATCTCACTTTTCGCAAATGTTCTCATCATATACGACAACACGGTAATTCACAGGTTCATTGAACTTATCGATTAGGTCCTACGATCAGTTCAGATTATATTTATTCATTTTCAGGATAATGGTCGAACATTCGCATTAACAAAACGATTTATTGGTGAGTTTGTTGTATTGCATAAAATGACATAATAAAAAACGCATTGGCATACTTGTCAAATAAGATGAATGCACATTTCTTTAGCGAATTGTTGTGTCAAAGAGGATTTTTTACATTGGTCGTCTTGGGAATGTTGCAGTGCGATTGCACGAAGGTTTGAAGTGAGTAAGAAACATAACATTGATGAAGTATGATAACGAGCACAGTTATGATAGTTGAACGATTGTGTAATGTGTCAACAATGACACTAAAACAAGTTGCTAGATGCAATTTGTTGGTTCAATTCATTACGGTTTATTTGATTAGATTAGCTTGCTGGGGAATAGATCGTCTTCTTATTTATTCATGGGCAATTCATCTGAAGACTTTTGTCTATTTGCCTTCACGGTTGAGTGTACTTGTATGTATATATGTATATTTTTACTTGTTTGATTTCGTGACAGTATCGAATCTGATGCGTTATTATGTAATATGCATCTGTAAGATGTCGTCAACCCATTGAAGCATTTTTTCATCATTTATCAAATGTCCTTTTAAAATCAGGCCTTCTATCGTTCATTTATCAATGATGCTTAATTTGTTCGATTCGTTCCAATTACTACCAAAATGCTTTCGAATTGCTTCCGTTGTATTTGATCGATTGAACTGCGTGTCCTTGTCTTGTCTCCTTGAAAAAAGTCTTCTCTTTACGCCGCAGTGCTGCTGATGAGTTAATTCATGCGATCATATCAGTCTTCATCACCATACTTTTACTGAATCAGGTAATTGAGAGTCTTCATAGGTACGTCATAAATGAAAGTCTTTTTGAATTTCTTTCTGTTTCCTTCTAAATAAGATGATCATTACACGGAATTCTAGTACTGTTGAATACGTCAAGGTCATATTGCGTACTGAACTAGTTAACTCCCGTATTCAAATCTTTTGCCTTGATTCAACTTTGAATGCGTCTTAGATCTAATTTCCTCGCCCAAATAGTGGCGATGACCCACCTACCTATTCGAATATGATTTATGGACTTCTCTATAATACCCTCAATCACAATATAAAATGACCATTTTCTTCGCTGACATTTGGATTTGTTTATGATCAGTTATTATTAGATCACAATCTGTTTAGTTTATTAGTATTTGCGAAGGACTTTATTTCGTAATCTACTGACAATGAGTATTCTAATGCTTAATGACAGACGATTCAATCGGTTGTGCACAATTATGGCGATTGCCTCTCCATTTTTATTTGTTTGTTCAGTTAAAAGTTGATCATTCGATTGCTTACTCTGTCGACAAATCTAATAACATCATATCAGTGACCAAAGCTCAAGTGGATTTTTGCAGAAGAAGAAGCGATTGAAAGTTGTCGTTGGCTTCGTGACGCTGGCTTTCCTCAGTATGCACGATTCTATGAAGGTATTAGATTATTCATGTGAAAAGTTTGTTCGAATAAGATGATAATTCGATAAGGGAATTCAATTCAACCTACTTCGTCGACATACCAGGATGGATACATTCTATTTCATACTTATATGCGTACATTCCGTTTCATGTTCCTGCGTTCAACCTTCGAGCTGACACCAGTTTCTTCCATTTTCATTTTTGAGCATATGGACACTCAAAACAAATGTTATCCTGTGATACAGGCATAAACATGGCATCACTTCTTCTCATCATTCATAAAATATTTTATGGTTTGAAACGGTTGAGCTCAGTGCCATCGACGAACTTTAAAGTAGTCCAGGATATTATTTAGTAGGTTCGTAACTCTGATCAAGCGGTGAAGTATGTTTTTTTCAGAAGGCCGATTCCCGATCGATCTTCGTTCAGTGAAGCGCGATCACGAGTTTTTGGATATTGATTCGTTGAGGGCACTTTTCAGACGTTTGAATTCACTTAACCGATGTGCAATAATGCAGAAAGAAAATGTCGTCCTAAGGAAACATGTAATTGGATTTCATTCGAATTCGTTCATTGTCGTCCGCGATGATTATTCGTTTTTGTACACTTATGTAAAATTGTAATCAGTGCTTCACTAAACGCAAATTCATTTCAATCTGTTCAGTCATTGTTATTATAATATTTTCGTTGATACAGTGACTCACACTGATAACAATTATGGACTGCACTATTGAAATTCAACCGTTTGCATGACTGTTTTTTGATGTATGCAAACAAAATTTTGATTTATTTACGATACGATGAGCATTTTCACCTCACAGATGAATAATTTTTTGAGTGAATGAACGTTTTCTGATTATAAACATCTTTTTTTGAACTTAATCATATCTTCTTATAATGTCAATCAACGCGTATGTTAGGAAACCATTTTTTAGTCCAGTCGCTTTGGTGAAACTTTATTGGATCGTTCGGATGGTGAATCAAACCGATTGGCTGCTCAGTGTGATGACGATGATCAAGTAGGGTTTCAAGCTTATTCCGATTGTTTGTAATACTGTTTTGCCGATGGGTTAGGAATTAATGAAGAAATTTGCTGTGCTCATAGTTCCAAAATTTATCCTTGAAAGTCGTGCGATAGAAGTGTGAATATGCGTTAATGATGGTGGTGATACATGAAGCTGGATTATTCGCTTCGCTGATATCGTTAGCCGAGTGGAATGAAGGAAGAATGTGATATTGGTGGTAGCTGAGAGGCATAAAGTAGTGATTACTGATTAAATAAATAAAGATGGTAGTGATGAGAATAAGATAGAATGATGAATACGTGTCGCAATTGATGGAAGAAGTAACACCCGAGTTAATCGCCAATTCGTTATTGCCTATAAACGTTTTATTCATCTTAATCAAATCGAATGATTGAGAATTGAGATAGAATATAACTAGATAGCAACAGATTATCACAAGACCGGTTTCGGTGAAGTGTTTACCTTCACGGTTAATGACTCCGATCCTGCAATGCTTCAGTCCACTTCAGTATTGCTCTCCTCTATTGAATATTGTTTCACTTCATCTAACCTGTGCTTATTCATACTGCCTATTATCTCATTCATGTAGTGTTAGATTTTATTTCATTTATTTATTGAATTCAATTGCGTAACTAGCATATGATTCCTTCTCCCTTTCTTTAAAACAATCACTTTAAAACAAGTAATCATTCATTCACTTGAAACATCCAGATATCATATATCATAATACGTGCACTTCAATCGATTTGAACATTACTGAATCATATATCTTTCCTGCATTAACATTCATTGACATTTTCGATCCATTAATTAAGGCTTTAACTGGGCTTCATTCGGTTATTTTGAACGTATCTTTCAGTCTTGACCACTTATCAAATACTCATTGAAAACAGCATATTTAGATACGTTTCATAGAGAAACGTGTCAAGTTAAAGCTTTTGATGCTTTATTTTCCAAGAAAATGCAGATTCGTTTATTTGCCTATTTTGATAGGATTTGAGAGGTGAAAATGAGCTGAATACAGATCGATAAACAAGAAATACGATTGAAGTCGGATTAAGAACGCTGATTGTGTGTGAATTGATTGCTGCTTAATGACCGTTAGAATCCCTGTGAATTCACAAATAAAAACTAACAAAATATAAGTAAACAATAAAGGACTGACTCATTAAGAGATACGATTGCATAACAATATGACCTACCTCTCTATTCATCTTCTCACTCTAAAAAGTGTGTTCACAGCGTATTAAAAAAAANTTATTCAATTCTAAAGCAATCCGCTCTACGTTAATAATTCTGCTGTTGCAGTGAATGATACAGCAGAGTTATTAGGACAGAGCTGATTGTTCTTGATAAATTAGAGTCATTGGGATAGAGTTGATTTCTTTGAAGGTATCAGTAACACTGAACTGATCTATTGGTAAACGAATTTAACTGAAGTTTCAGATCGCTATCTCAGATCGTTGGAAGTATCAACGGAAGTCGCAGTCTTGGTCTAGAACAAATGGTCAGCAGTTATCCGCGATTGTTCTTTTTTGTTTTTGTTAAAATATCACTATTCGTGAGCATTTAGTTTCTTCAATTCTCATTCAGTTTAAAACTTGATTCCGAAACGCTGATAATTTAGTGATGTTCAGGTGAAGTAGCTGGAAGGATGCTGAGAAGAGAGCACGCAAGACCCGAACGTGAAGAGAGTATTAGCCCAAGTTGCAACCTACGGGAGCTATCTGCTCATTGTGATCATGATGCAAATTTGACTGACAACCATGAAGAACACCCAAAATTAGCACTGAATTCGAATACGCAATTGTAAGGATTAGCTGAAATTTTCATTGAGCATTGCTTAGTTCTCTGAAAAATTTGTTCACCTCATGTTTATGAACAAACCGTGCGAGTGTTTTTGACGCAAATGCTGCGTATTTCAGTGTGAACAGTAAAGTGGCAAGTGTTCAACGATCTCAAAGTGAGCGTTTAAAGGAAAGAGCGAAAGCTTTCATGAAACGAGTTGATGCTCGTTGGTCATCAAGGTACTATTGCTTCTTCTCTTCATCAACTCCACCCAGACGGATTGATTCAAATTCAAAACCTTGAAGTGTTTTCTTTCTGTTCCCAATGAATACCATCAAAATGATCCGTCGGCGATGATNCGATTAAAGGCATCGCCGAATACGCGAAGGTATATCGTGTGACCGCGACCGCGATCGTCGTAAAGCATCCAGTCGAGAACCGATCATCGGAAATCCCGTCCTCATATCGCACTTCTCGGCCAGTCCAAGACCAATGCGTATGTTCCCGATCACAAATCAACTTGTTGACAATGACCGACCATCCAATAATCTAGCCGTCGATCCCTCGACGCTCTGCCAAGCTCGTCTCCATAATAAATCGTCATGCAGCAATCCGAATCAAAACATTCCTCATTCTAATAACGGTTAATGAAGAATCATTCCTCAAATTAGTTGTTTTCGTTCACTTGCGATGCGATATAAGTGAAGAACATTGCAATTAAAGTAGTTTTACATTTGACTGTCTCGGTCTATCAAGTTGTTGCTTTTTATGGAGAAGAGGTAGACAGTCGTATGCTCGAAAAGAAGTATGCGTTGAAGTGATCATTGCTGACTGTTTGATCGGGTATTCTGCTCTTATGAATGTTAGCAATGTTCATTAATTCAATAATTAGGAGATCAGCATTTGAGTTGTGATTTGAAAATGTTCACTCAACAACAAACCAATGCAATTTTTAGCCACCAGTCGTCGTATGGGAATGATAATGTTATCACCGAGCGCAGATTCATCATCTGCAGAGGATAGTTTTATTGAATCGAATCGGGTTGCAGAGGTGGCTGGCTGGTGTACGAATCGAACCGATCCTGGTGTTGTTCCAGCAGTACTCCGGTCATTCCAATCAAGCGATTACGCGAACAGATCGCGAGTGATCAGAAATGATTATGATAATCATCGTTATGCCCCATCAAACTCAATCGCATCTCAGCTACTCAATTCACCATCACCCCATAACAATAACAATCATACAGAAACTCAACAGCTTCACTACTATACAACACCAAGTTGCAGTTCACCTGAGTTCTCATCGTGTGAATCAAAACAGATCTTCAAAGTCCCTAACACTCCAACACTTCAAAGGTGATTTAATTCTTGTTCACTACGAAACTAGTGCAAAACGTTTTTATTCATAAACCGCATTTGCGTTTTCTTTGTTTTGTATATCGCATTGTATTAATAGCAGCAACTTATTCGTTTGCTTAGTTCATATCATTAACGAATCTCCATTCTTTTCATTTNCTCCAACACTTCAAAGGTGATTTAATTCTTGTTCACTATGAAACTAGTGCAAAACGTTCTTATTCAGAAACCGCATTTGCGTTTTCTTTGTTTTCTAAATCGCATTGTATTAATAGCAGCAACTTATTCGTTTGCTTAGTTCATACCATTAACGAATCTCCATTCTTTTCATTTCAATATTACGATGAGTTGACGTTCTAACTTCCAGTTGATCATTGCATGAGGTGCATGATATTTGAAGATGAAGCATAACAGAAGTAACACTTCTCATTATATTTATCTTGTTCTGCTGCTTATGTCAATTGTTCGGATAGATTCAGTATTCATGTGCTTTTTTCTGTGTGTATCCCAGATTGATTTGTGTTGTATTCAGGAATAATAATAATCGAACGATAACACGCACTCAAAACAGCACTGCCAATGATATAATTAATAATAATGAATTAATCAAGCCTTCGCTGATCACTCATCGATCAACTCTTGAAAGATCAAGAGTTTTATCAACTAAGAGGGTTATCGATCATGCAGCTGTTATCGATCAAGAAACGAGTTATGATAATATGATGATGACATTTTCTAATGCTGAAATGATGTTACCTACTAATGCTAGCAGTCCTCCTCAGTCCAAATCAACCTTTTACACGCCACTGCCATCAGAACGATGTAAATTGATCGTCAATGCGGATGGTTACTACGAGCATATTCCGGGTTCGGTTTGAATCATTTTCCAGTGAATTGACTGTTCAGTCAGATTGATTTTGTGTAGTCTAATAAACGGTCTTCACGCTTTGTGTATAACCCGCAGTCTCATTCTTCGAACAAGCATTACAATATTAGTTATTAGCTGCTTTGCTGTTATCACGGTCTTACCTCTTATCTTAATGTCTCACAACTAATTCTTAATTGCCGAAACGAAAATCGTGATCTGATCGCAATAATCCTGAAATAAGCCGACATTTCAGTATGCTCAGTGGCTTTGCCGATTCAAGAAATATTCTGGTACTAACAATAATAAGCAAACGAAAATTGTAACACTTTGAAACGCATTGATTGTTAAGCTCATATAATATAATGAGACATGAAGCCATTAATAATAGTAACATTAATTTTCAAGCAATGTATTGTGAATGGTCAGTGTGATCGCTATTACAGATAATCAGTGCTTCGATAAAGCGGGTATGGTTGAACTGGATGCCACCACATCGAACGCTTCGTCATCAGTGTTCATCTCTCAGCCATCCACATCTTCATCATCCACTTGGAGTAGTTCATGTAACTTCAATCGATTTCATAAGGTCATCATTCAGATTATCGCATTTACTCACCGTTATTCTATTTACATTTTAAAATGAGAACATGATATTGGCAATGAATCACTTCTGCACCTACTATCGAAAACATTTGCAATAATTGAAGCAGCAGAATGCAATCGTTATTGATCCGTAATTGAGTCAATCGTTACTGATCCGTAACTGAGTTAACGGTGTTTGACTACGTTGGAAGTACTTTATCTTATTCATTCGAGATTTTTGTGATATGGTTTATGCAAAATAAAATATTGAAACTATTCATCACGTTCAGGATAGCACAACTGTAAAAGATGAACGAAATTTATCGAGAATTGTTACGAATGGTAATGATGCTTGGAATAATGTCCATAATGCTAGTGCATTCGGCTCATCATTCAAAATGATTGGTGGGTATGATCCGGGTGTGATGGTGAATGACACCGCTGTAATAATTCCACAGCGGCGAGATTCAGGCGTTGGCTCGAGCTTATCGCGCTCACCGAGGTTTATTTTCAGTTCCAAAACTATTTGCGACTCTTGAATTGCTTCATTGTAACGAGCACAATTATGCAGGAATCGCATTTCATATTTAATACCTTCACTCATAATTTCTTCTGTGAAAATTGAGATAATTTATGATGAGCGATCTATCATTTCAGCTGCTAATGTCGCTAGAAATTTATAACGACATATTAACTACTTTAATGTCAGATAAAACATTAGTAATAATATTTAAGCGGACCAACAACACAGCGACAAATCAGATCCAGTCTGACCCGACCGTTTTGGAGTAACAATGATAATAGTTCAAGCAAAACAAGATATGACACAGCAACAACGTCGAATTTATCAACTTCAATCAATTGTGTTGCTGCTGTTCAAGGATCAGAGAATTACCATGCGTTCATCGACAACACTCATCTTCCGCACTCAATTGATGCATTGAGTGTCACTCAAATCGTAACTTATCCTTACTATCGCCTTCTTAATATATATTGTGGCCATGTTATTTCGTTTCAGTGCTTTGTCAGAAGTTGTTCGTTGATTATAATCTTCATCAGATAATGATAATTTCACTTCAAATGAAAGTAAAAGACGTACCATGCAATGAACCACAATGGAACGCATGATTATAAATATTTCAGATAAGATTTCGAAAGTTGGCATTCCTAAAGTTATCAGCCCTAATGGAACGTTACGTTGGTAATGCGATACAGTTAGATGCATCTTCGGTGGACACGGCAAATAATGCAAACATGAAAAATTGGACTCTGAATAAATTCTTGAAGAAAATGCGAACGAATGATACCAAATCAATGAATAGTATGTTATATTTTGGATAATCACTCGAAATGTTGATTACAACCAATAGTGTTGAATTGCCATTCGTCGTCGAGCAATTAATCACATGAAAGCTTTACGTTGATACATAAATGAATGATCAAAATTGAAAGGTGAAGTGTCGTCGTGTGTATTCGGAATGCCATTATCAATGGTGTATAGTCGAAGTGGTCTATCGCTGCCAAGAGGTATTCTTCAATTGATGCACTTCCTTTCAACGGATCGTATTGTTGATACTGTTGGTATATTCCGTAAGAATGGAGTGCGTTCGCGAATCGCTGAACTCAGAGCAAAATGCGATGTGGCTCCCGATCAAGACGTATTTCCTCATTCGAAAGGACTTGACTCACTTTTGGTGAATTTATATTCTGTTGTTTCTTTATAATCATCATGTCGCTCATATATTTCATTCACTCAACCTTAAATGTGATTATAGGTTCATGATATGGCCGACATGTTGAAGCAATACTTCCGCGAACTTCCCGAATCGTTGATGACTGCAAAATATTCGCAATTATTCGCCAATATTTATTTATGTGAGTTGATTTGCTTATTTAAAATGAGGATATGACTACGTTGCGGAACTTTTCTTCAGACTATTGTGAAATTACTTGAGTGATTGTTATTGCAAGGCACAATTTTGGATTGCCTTGTCATACTGAACTGTTCCCTTGGACAGATGTCGTTCCCTTTATCTGACAGTCTTCATCGCGCTCACCTACCACACAAATAAATTATGGCTTCGACATAAGTTTTCGCTGAGTTATTGGAAACAAAATTTAGAGTTTTGTTTGTTTGATCCCTGCAAATTTTTAACGGGTGAATTCCGACTGATATTGCTCGATTTTTTTTCAGTTAGTTTTCGATGGAGGTGAAAAATTGATCAATCAAAAAATCAATCACTTTAATGCATCGAAACAGTTACGAATTAGCGTCATCGGTGGGATAGTGCTTGTGCAATACGGCTCAGTTTGCATTCAGAATTAAGGAATGTTTTATCGGTTTCAGATTTACCCAGTCAGCATCGTTTGAAAGCACTTCAGCGTGCGGTACTCTTATTGCCAGATGAGAATCGCGAGGCACTTCAAACATTGCTATTCTTCTTGCATGATGTTGCATCGCATTCATCTGCGAACAACGTATTCATTTTCAATATCTCCTTTATTAATATTGTACTTCACTTGTGATTTTTCAAAAATCATTCCACATTTTGTATATGAAATCAAATATTAGTAAAAGTTCGTTTCGAATATTTTAAAGTGTAGACGTTCGATTGATTACCTTATTGCGAATGCTTATCGCATAATGTAAATTGCAGATGAATGCTCAAAATTTGGCTGTTTGTTTGGCTCCGTCTCTTTTTCATTTGAGCACTGTACGACTGAACAGGATGAGTCCAGCAAGGTGTGTATTAACAATTANTGAAACTGGGATGAAATTAGAATTAGCGCAATCATTGTAAGATGACTTACACTATTCATGACTTGCAGACGTCATAAAACAATCGGTGCGAGTGGAATGCCCACAGAGCGTGAAATGAAAGAATCACGAGCATCACAAGAATGTTTGGCGCAAATGATTGATTCAGCTCTTGAATTATTCATTCTGAATAAATCTGATCAAGATTGCGATTACAATATCAATTCATCGCTTGTGAATGATATCAGTGGTTACGATTATGAAAACGATGCTGACGATTATCAGCTTGAGTTACCCTTTCTTAATGAACTTGGCATTGCTGATGGCGGTAATTACAGAACTTATCTCATACAAAAAGCCATGCAGCTTATTAAGGTTTGAATTTGCGATAATTATGAGTATTTCCTAAGCATTGACAGGTTCAGTATTGAACAGAATATCGCAGAAAATGTTTGTGTGAAGTGATAGATGATTACAAATGGTGAATAATGGATGAATGTGATGAAGTGATGCATTATACAATGAATATAATGTGAGTGAATAATAATATGATGAAATATATGGACAAATAATCTTTTATGGTGGAAACATTAAAGGAGCATAACGAACGATGGAAGGGTTGGATTGTGGAGGGTTTGATAGATGGTGTTGAAATATCAACGAAGAAGGCAGATGATGGTCATGTGCTCCGTTATTTCCGTGTCTGGACTGATATTGAAGCACCACCGAAGCAGTTACTTTTGCGTTTAATGAAACAAAGGTTCGTTTCTTGTCTGTTCTTTGATTAATTGATTCACTTGTTATGATTAAGAGATCATTAGTCACTATTGCAGACAGTAATTGAGTCACTTTTTAGGAATGTATGGGATCGGTCAGTGATAAATTGGCGAAGTGTGGCGTCTTTGAACGATGAAGATTGTGATTTGTATCAGTACGTGCTGAACGATACACCAGCACATCCAACCAGGGATGTGCTTGTTGTCAGGTGATTGCTTCAGTTTATCGTGCTTGGCATTCATTGCGATCATGAATAGTTGCAGATTTCATTATTGTCATACTGAATGCCTGTTATTTCATAGAACTCACTAGGAATCATTTTCCGAAAATAGTCGCATGTAATCAGTATGAGCTATTAATTCGTCAAAGAGATAAGTAATTTATAGTGTTTCAGTTGGATATGATGCATTGAATGTTTAAGGTTATGGAAAACGGAATTGAAAGAGTTGCGGGGAGGTTGCGTTCTAATCGAACGTTCAGTGCGTTCAAGTGAGACTCAGTTGCTCGGTGCTATTCCAGCCGTTGCGCTCGCATCTNGGACGTTCTCGTATCACTTACATTAGTCGTGTTGATCTCAGGTTTGTATGTTCACATCACAACTGAACTTGTTTCTTGTTCATCTATCCTAAAAGATAAAAGTAATGCTCATTCAAACTTACTATTTATAGAGGTCGGAGTAACCTTTGGTACGGTAAAGTATATGGCGCATTGGTTGCGAGACAAATGTCTTTATTGAGAGAATCATTTAAACGGAATGATCATAAAAACGATGGACCTGAAACTAATGTTTGACATTCTGGTGAATTTGATACCCATATTGCTCGATGGCTATGATGGCCACTTATTTATTCATGCTGATTTGAGTCGACCATTGGTTCCGTCTTTAACATCAGTAATATTCCAAGAAGCAAGTCTGTGACGAAAGGACTATTGTTAATTTCATTCTTCTATGCAATTGTTATACTGTTTTTGTTGATTACTTGTTTCTTTTATGATAATTTTATTTATTACCCTATGATTAAATGTGCATCATTTAAAGCAAAAGGATTGAGTATTGCATGCTTGTTGTTATTTTCATTGTTGAATACTGTTATTGTTGTTTTTATTAAGGTATTATGATGTTGGTGTGTTCAAATATCATGTTTTCGTTAGGATTGTTATTGATATTTAGACTCAGTTGGATGATAAATCTCGAACTTGAGATAATTTCATTTCATAAACGGGTACATCAATGCAATCGGAGTGCAGTGTTTCTAATCGGATCATTTTACGTTACGGTATAATGTGTGCTTGAGATACATTTGTCATTTGTGATTGCTGTGCATTCATCGATTTTATTCAATTTTGAAATGTTCTGATAACGTTTGTTTGGATTAATTCTTAATTATGAGAATATTCTGTATTATAGCTAAGATCATATAGATATACATGATTTATTTATTTTTTAGTTATTACCTCATTGATAACCTTCTCCATTATATCGGTAGGATTGGCACACCACTCATTGATGTTGCCGAGGCTGTAATTTGGCTTGTATCTACTTATCTTATAATATTACAATTTAGTTGTGATCAAGAATGCTTATTTGATAGTGTTTATCAAACTAACACTGCACATCTGTCGATGCTCTTTATTTCCAGTTGACGTAGCTTGTTCCTTATCGATTCGTCTGCATCGTCAATCACTGAATATAGCTCGTGATGGCATTGATATGGTATCGTAATAAGTAAATACCAATTGTATTGTTTCACCTGGTGCTAAATGCTTCTCTATTCGATTCAATAAATTCTTTTCCAATCGATTTGCCTGAAACGAGTCGTGTTTTAATTGTTAAAAACTTCATTTCTTTCGCATTTTAACAATAGGGTCAGCGGTGTACAGGATTGTATTCAGTGTAACGGATGCAAGATAAGCATTAGATGTGTTTCGTTGGCACACTCGTGAAAAAGGACTTGACGTAATCAGAGATTCCTCCAAGAAGGAATGCAAACAAGGCACTCCTCAGTGATGATTTGAAATACGGTTTGATTCGGCATGAAATTGCTTGTTCAGTGACGTATACTGCGACTGAATTTGTGCCTGACAACTTACAAAACAACGAATTCATAGAGCACTGAATACAATAAATCGTTCCTTACGGAGGAGAACTACTGTTCGCAGTTTCAAGACGGAGAATGAATGCGCAATCGTGAATAAAAGATTGCGATTTTGTGAGTGCATGAGACTGTCAACTGTGCAGATGTGACGGTGGCGACCTTGAGAGGGAGGCGCTTCAGCCCATCAAGTGGAACACCGATTCGAAAACGATGACTGCATTGCATAAGGACTTTCACAATTGTTATTGGTGACGGTGAAACGTATGACGAGGACGGTGCCGTGTTCTTACTCTATCTTATTACATCTTCTTATTCTCATATTCGCCTTTCAATGGTTAACATTTATTGATTCGTTCATTTTAATCTAACTTCTACTTCTCGATGACGATGAATATGACACCGATGGCTAATATCACTACAGATTCTGTTTATCTGCGGTGATCTAAAGTTCATTTTAACATACATTCAGTCAGTAGATTCATTAGCATTCAACTCATCAATATGAACTGTAAACGAAAATTACAGTGATGCGGAATGTCCCCGAAGACAAAAACATGCTGATTCGCATTCAGCAGCAAATGCAAATGCGCCTAGCAAAGCGCCAGAAGAGCGATTCATTCAAGCAACGTTCCTTCATAATGATAAATCAGGTGAGAAATGGTTGGGACTCATTGTCGTTCATCGAATCTCGCTTTAAGATGATGACACAAGTTTCAGTGCTCAGTTTATGGAAGTATTCGACGCCGTGAGACAACGTCTAGACTTGCGTCTTCGACTAATCATTGATCTGGAGCATGTATGCAATCTTTTGTTAGTTCAGTGAGCAACTGCTTTAGTTTTATGGTAGCATCATGGATTGAATGTGAATGATTCCAATTCAGATCGACTGTACGAAGGGCGATCATCAGCGATGTCTTGAGTACAGATTACGT